CGCATCACAGTGGAGGTTCCTTCCTCCCTTCGGAGAAAGGCGCTTCTTTCCTTGATGGCCTGTTCCTTCTGCTAGGGTCTTGTTCACCAGGATCTTTCATTTAGATTGTTTTTTGCCACCGGGTCATGGCTTTCCATGCCTGTGAGACTCTCATGGACCTTTTAGTCAGATCCGAATGCCCCAAGGGTTGATTCTGAGGCAGAAGTGCCGTTCTGTGCGTTTGCCATTCTGTGAGTCTGCTGTGTGTCCTGCTTCCCCCGCAGGATCATTCCTTAGAGGTAACTTTTTTATAATGTAATCCATTTGAATATAATTAACACAAGTGATTTTTGACTGATATTTTTTAAAAACTACACCAGATTGTACATCTCCTCCTTCTCTTATTCCCACTCTTATATTTAACAGGGATCACTCTTCAGTTAAAATTTAAACACCTAAGAATAACTGTGTGTTAATCACAGAGTTCAACCAATAGTACTAGAACAAAACAATGAGGAAATACTAAAATGGATAAAGTATTACATTGTACATCAACAGTCAGGACAAGAGCTGATCAAGTCACTGTTTCTCACAGTGTCCATTTCACTTCAACAGGTTTCCCCTTTGGTGCTCAGTTGTCGCTGATCAGGGAGAACATATGATATTTGTCCCTTTGGGACTGGCTTAATTCACTCAGCATAATGTTTTCCAGATTCCTCCATCTTGTTGCAAATGCCCGGATTTCGTTGTTTTTGACTGCTGTATAGTATTCTATAGAGTACATGTAACATAATTTTTTTATCCAGTCTACTGTTGATGGGCATTTGGGTTGGTTACAGGTCTTAGCTATTGTGAATTGAGCTGCAATAAACATTGAGGTGCAGACAACTCTTTTATTTGCCAATTTAATTTCCTTTGGGTAAATTCCAAGGAGTGGTATGGCTGGGTTGAATGGTAGGGTTATATTCAGGTTTCTGAGGAATCTCCAGACTGACTTCCATAGTGGCTTAACCAGTTTGCATTCCCACCAACAGTGGGTTAGTGTCCCTTTTTCCCCACATCCTCTCCAGCATCTGTTGTTGGTAGATTTCTGAATGTGAGCCATTCTAACCGGGGTGAAGTGAAACCTCATTGTGGTTTTGATTTGCATTTCCCTGATTGCTAGTGATCTTGAACATTTTTTTCATGTGTCTGTTGGCCATTTGGATTTCCTCTTTTGAATATAAGAGTGGGAATAAGAGAGGGGGGAGATGTACAATTTGGGACATGCTCAGTCGGACTTGCCCCAAATGGTGGAGTTAGAATCATGCCAGGGGATCCAAATACAATCCCATCAAGGTGGCATGTACCAATGCCATCTCACTAGTCCAAGTGATCAATTTCAGTTCACAATTGATCACACTTATAGGTCTAAGAGTCAAAGGGATCACACAAACAAGACTAGTGTCTGTTAATACTAGCTGATAGAATCAAAAACGGAGAGAATGATCCATCATGGGAAGTGGGATACACAGCAGACTCATAGAATGGCAGATGTCCTAAATAGCACTCTGGCCTCAGAATCAGCCCTTAAGGCATGCGGATATGGCTGAAGAGCCCATGAGAGTATTTTAGGCATGGAAAGCCAAGACACCCTGAAAAAAAAAAAAAAAAGAAGAAGAAGACCTAAATGGAAGATCTCTGGAAGTGAGATCTCAGTGGAAAGAACAGGGCCATCAAAGAAGGAGGTACCTTTCTCTGAAGGGAGGAGAGAACTTCCACTTTGGGAATGACCCTGTCAGAATAAGATCGAAGTCGGTGAACTCAAAAGGCTTCCATAGCCTTGGCAACTCATGACTAGAGCCTAGGGAGATTACTGACACCATAAACAAGAGTGTCAAATTGTTAAGTCAACAACAGGAGTCACTGTGTACTTACTTCTCATGTGGGATCTGTCCTTAGTGTGTTGTCCAATGTGAATTAATGCTATAACTAGTACTGAAACAGTATTTTACACTTTATGTTTCTGTGTGGGTTGGAATGCGGCACCGGTTGAGAGGTAGTATCAACGCCGTGAGGATCCGAGCCCCCCAGATTGGAGGTAGCTTTGCCGTGTGGGGGGGCCTATTCTCCACCATCGACTGTGGCCTGGTCTGGCTGCGGGGCAAAGAGGACCCCTGGAACTCCATCACCAGCGGTGCATTGACTGGGGCTGTGCTGGCTGCCCGCAGTGGCCCTTTGGCCATGGTGGGCTCTGCGATGATGGGAGGCATCCTGTTGGCTCTCATCGAGGGGGTCAGAATCCTCCTCACTCGCTACACTGCGCAGCAGTTCCGCAATGCACCCCCGTTCCTGGAAGACCCCAGCCCGCTGACCTCTAAGGAGGGCACCCCGGCACCAGGCTATCCCAGCTATCAGTAACACCACTGAAGAAGCGACTGCCTACCACCACCGCAAGAGGCCTCTGCTCTGCTCCCTGGTCCCAGGGTGGGGGTGGGGCATCCCAGCTGCCCTGACAGATGGGTCCCCTTTTTCTCTTTCAGGGCACCCCAGCCCCACACTCACATGTACAAGCTCTCAACCCAGCTCCCTCGTGTGGCACTCTGACAAGTATTTAAAGCCGGTTTTGAAACGCCTAAAAAAAAAAAAAAACTGATGAAATCTTTACTTAATATATACTGAATTGATCTTCTGTATATAAAGATAATTGAAAATGAATCTTGATGTGAATGGAATGGGAGAAGAAGCAGGAGATGGGAGGGGTGTGAGTAGGATGGAAATTATGGGGGGGGAAGCCACTGTAATCCATAAGCTGTACTTTGAAAATTTATATTTACTAAATAAGAAAGAAAAAAAAGAAAAAAAAACTACACCAGAATAATATAAACACAAAAATTTTAGTATAAGTAATTGAGTAGGAAGTTTTTAACTATTGTACCTAATATTATATAAATATAATATTTTGCTATTTTAACATACAGGTTTTGAAATACTAACAAATTTTAACCAATATCGTTCTCATGTAGTTTATAAAACAATATGCCATAAATATACTCAGAAAGAAAGTTTAGAACTTACATATTTATTAGTAGATAAAATTTTGTGGGAGAATATTTGCTAGGTAAACTAAGAATATTTTACTGAAAATATTCTGTTAGAAGCTTAAGTGGTTGAACAAAACAACATCTTTTTTTCTCTTGTCTGGGATATGTTATAGTTATCAACGTGTTTGGGGCAAAAGAATTGAAGTATCTTCGTTAATTATTTCAAGATTTCTACAGAATATTAATACTCTTGGATATGTTATAATACAATTTCTCATCTGTTGAGAAAAAATGCAACTAGCACAACTGTTCACCTATAAATTCAGTTCCACAGATATCAGCAATATTAAATTATGCATTGAAAATGATAAGTTCATTTAGTAATTAAATATGAATTTTTAGGTGGAAATAAATGTTAACTGCTTTACTTGTTAAAATGTACTAAATTTCTATTTTGATGGTCTTGGGAATGTAATGAAAATGAACACAAAAGTGTTTTGGTAGAAATGTATTCATTGCTCCAGTCAAATGAAAAATTTATAATTGAAAACCTTCATGAAAGTAGTGGTGGTAAAAGTGCATTATTATCAGGTAGTAATTTTTTCAGTTAATCTTATGAGTGATTTATAAAACATTAGGCAAAATAGAAAATTTAGCAAGAACATTTTGTACTATCTATATCTATATTATGAATTTGGTTGGATAAGGCCTTCAGCATTGTTTATGTTCATTGCTATGTTAAATGATGATTGTGTAATTTCAAAATGGTCAGAAGACAAATGTATAAAATAAAAACAATTAAGAAAAAATTTTGGAAATTTATGCATTCTTCACAGTATAGAAATGAGTTAGCAAATCAGTCTTTCAAACCTGAGATTTATTTTCACATCGATATTTAAAGACTATAACTCATGAACTCTGTTTTGTTTTCTTCCATTATCAGCCACAGCCTTAATAATCTTTAACCTTTCTTAGTACAGTTTCAGTACTGACTGTCAGATAACATGTTTCATAGGCTAATTTTTCTATTGCATTTTTGCACTATGTCATCGGTCATGACATTATAGCTCTCTAATTTATTCAATGAAGAACAGTGTCAGTAGGAAAATATTTCTTATCTGGGTTTGTGTTTTGTAACAACATGCCGAATATAGTAAAGTCTCAGAGATAGCCTATTGGGATTATATTTTGTATATAACAGTTATTGAGTGTACCCACACATATAAATTAGGATGTCAAGTTCATCATGCTTGGCTTCCTTTGATCACAAATCTTGTCTATGTTATATTTATCTCTCTTCAATTTAATTACCGTATCAATAGCAAATTTTACATAAGAAAATGCTGTAAATTAAGTGAAAGCAATTTAGAGACAATTGACTTAACAGGTTAATAGAATCTTTATCAGAATTGAATTTAGAATCCTGTGTTTCTGTGTGAAAATACCATACTTTGATATAGTTAAAATGTTGAAAATAATTGTGTTTGAAGGTAAAGATTTTACCTTTATTATAGGCATTTTTGAAAACTATTTTATCCTATAAAGAGTTTAAAGTTACTACCTAATATGAAAATAAAATTGAAGGGAATTTAATTAACTTCAGATGTCACCAGCAAATATTTTCAAGAAGAAAGTAATTTCTAAGGATAACTTTAGAATATAGCACAGTTAGCTAAAATAATTTTTCAAAAATAGGAAAAGAAATGTGGAGCTTCCATTTCTGGCAATATGAAGCACAAGAAGCTTAAAATTTTCATTTGAATAGAATATCTTGTGGTTTAGAAAATTATCTTTAAAATAGATTAAACATCAATACACTTTTACATAACTTTACATAGCCTTAATATTTATTTTATTTGTATTTTAAGAGGGAGAGAGCAAGAGATGCAGGGGGAGGGGGAGGGAAAGAGAGAGAGACTCCAATCTGCTGGTTCACTTTCCAAATGAACACAGTAGCTGGGGCTGAGCCAGGCCAAAGCCAGCAGCAAGGAACTCAATCCAGGTTTCCCCATGGGTGGAAGGGACTGAATTACTTGAGTCATCTCCACATTGCTCCCATGGTGTTCATTGGCAGGAAGCTAGAATTGGGAGTGCAGTGGGACTTAAACCCAAGTACTCTGTTATGGAGTGGGGCATCTCAGTGGCAGCTTAACCACTAAGCCAAATGCCTGCCTCAAATTTTAATGTTTTAAATGCATTTCACTCAAGTATTAGTCTTTAAAGGATTGGAAAAGAACTTCAACCATCTTCATTGCAGATAATTTGAGAACTGGCCTAGAGTCTAGGTAAAACAGACCAGATGCACTGCTAAGAGATGGGAGATGAAACGTTGGGTTACTAATGATAGAAGCTCATATCTGATGTTCTACAAAAGTGACATGTTCAGTAGATGAACAATTGCAGCAACAACACAAAGGCTGTAATGAAAAATAAGCGATGTCAACAATATTGCTGATGTGGATTGTAGGGTACTTCAGTTCTGAGTGATTAGAGTGACTCCTATAAGAATCCTTAACAACAAATTGTACCTATTGCCAGTTTCAGTCTCCAAGTCTTTTTTACCTAATCATCCCACAAAAAAAAATCATTAAAAAATTAAAGTTGTTTGGTATAGAGTATACTAAACATTGCCTTCTCTTTAATACAAGGTCCCAAGCATATTTTATTCTAATCAGTTCTACCTCAACTTACATGTTAGTATTGTGCAAGTTAATGATGCTATTAATTTTAGAACTTTAAGTAGAATAAGTCAAATATCTATAATAACCACTAAATGAGTAAAAATAGAAGACAGTTCAAAAGGCAGCAGAGAGAAATGTAATAAGGAAAATAGGAAAAAAGATTGAAAGAAATAATTCCAAATATTGAATAGTGACACAACAGATATGAAGAGACTAGGTGCTGGAGTGCAGTTTTTGTTTGTTTGTTTTAAAGATTTATTTATTTATTTGAAAGGCAGAGTTCTAGAGAGGCAGAGGCAGAGAGAGAAAGAGGTCTTCCTTTGCTGGTTCATACTTCAAATGGCCACCTCAGACGAAGCTGGGTTGATCTGAAGCCAGGAGCCAGGAGCTTTTTCCGGATCTGCCATGCAGGTACGGGGGCCAAGGACTTGGGACATCTTCTACTGCTTTCCCAGGCCATAGCAGAGAGCTGGATCAGAAAGTGGAGCGGCCAGGACTTGAACTGGCACCCATTATGGGATGCTGGCACTGCAAGCGGTGGTTTTACCCATTATGCCACAGACTGGCCCCATGGAGTACTGGTTTGAGTGCTGGCTGCCTTGGTTTGGATCCAGGTTCCTGCTAATGTGCCTGGGAAGGCAGTGGAAGATGGCCCAAGTACTAGTGCCCCTACTACTACCAGTGTGAGAGACCCAGATGGAGTTCCATGGCAATTGTTGCCATCTGGGGAGTGAACCAGGATATAGAAGATTTCTCTGTAACTCTGAGAACTAATGGAAGGAAGGAAGGGAGGAAGGGAGGAAGGGGGGTGGGAGGGGGGAGTGGGGAAAGGAGAGGGAGGGAGTGGGGAAAGGAGAGGGAGGGAGTGGGGAAAGGAGAGGGAGGGAGTGGGGAAAGGAGAGGGAGGGAGGGGGAGGAGGAAAGGGGGGTTAAAAAAGTAAAGAGACCAAATTCTTCAATATTATACTAAGATTTAAGACATGGAAATAAAAAGGGAATCAGCTATTTTTATGAGACACAATTTAAAGACAAAGAATCAAAGTAAAAGATTAGGAAGGATACACCAGGTATATTTGAAACAAAGCATGCATATATATCAGAAGAGAATAAAATGAATGATGAAGTGAAAACTTCTCAAGAAATAAGATTACATTTTGCTTCCCATCTCTGAGTAGTGTTTTTGGGCTGTTAAAATCTAAAGTTCTCAAACATATTAAGATTCAAAATAAGCCTCTGGTGAGATAATATGGAGAACTAGACTGAAAAATCAAAATAATGAGCCCAGAAACAGATCTTTGTATATATAAAAGACAGAGTTAGTATTGGGAAAATGATGGCTTTGTAAATAACAGGATAAAAAGGCCAGCATTCTGGCATAGGGGGTGAAGCTGCCACCTGTAGTGCTGGTGAAATCGGACATGACCCCCTAGAATTTATATAAAAATGTGGTTCTTGAGAGTTCCCCAGAAGTGCTATCTGGGGTGCCGCATATACTACCGGAATTTGGGGTGCCATGTGATTTCACCATGGGCTTATTACTAAATTCCCAATATTAATAAGCCCGAGAGGGTTCTTGCCTAATATTTAGAGAAGAATTCTAAATACTGGCACAGATAAACGAGGCAGCATGGTACGTTTAAGCTTTATTTAGTGTTTAAGGTCTCTCAGAAAGTGAGGGCTTTAGTTCAGGATGGAGAGAGGGGAAGGTCTGGGAACTAGGGTAGCGTCC